AACTGCTAGACTAGCACAGAGGTATGAGAGTGTACAGAATATTATGGAAGCAACAACTGTGTGTCAGTAAAGTATTTGTGATAGCCAGTGAAGCAGTGGAGATGCTGTTAGAGAAACAGGTCAAGGCTTTGTGGCAGGCCTTTAAGACATACTAAGGAATTTACTTTGAAGGGAATGGTGAGCCAGTAGAGATTTTTAAGTAGAGGAGCAATTCATTGAAGTCTATGATTTTTAGAAGACAGGTGTGACATTTTAAACAAGTGTGGAGATTAGCACAAATAATCCTCGTGTGGGAGAAGTGTTGGGAGTCTAGAGGCAGGATTACAACTGGGCGACCACAATAATACCCAAGTGAGATGACAAAGACCTGAAGTAGAGCAATTGCAAAGAGAGTGGAAAGGAAGAAAATTTTAAAGATAGTTCTTTAAATGTGGTGATACTGTATGTAGGCAAGGAGAAAGCAGGAGGAGTCAAGGTCAACAGCTGAGAGTGATGGCAGTAGGGGTGGATTAGAGAGACTAAAGAGATTACTAAGGAAAGGGGCCAGCTAGGGACAAATAAAACAACTGTTAAGTGTTGTTGACAGCTCATATAAGGTTGGAAAACAGGAATCTTCCAATCGGCATGCATTTACAAATTTCTCCAAAAAGCCTAAACAGATCTGGTCACAACTAAAACAAAATCAGAAAAGCTCCCTGAAATCATCAATGGTATCAGTAGACTGCCTGGTATCCTCTTTAGAATGAGGAATGTTAAAAAAAAAATTATAAAAGCAGTAGGATGAATTTCCATTTCTGGTAACAGTAATGAGATAACTTGGACAGATACTCCCACTGAACTAACTAAAAATATTTAAAATGTTAAAACAGCAAAGAGCTAATAAGAAGGTGAAGACTTCACATAGGGAAATTTAGAAGACTAGAACTCAGAGTAGGAAGCTCATCTTTGAAAGTTTTTGCCTTTGGGCATAACTATCAGAAACAAAAGATTTGAGACACCAGTTACACTTTGGGCAGTCTTATGGGTTTCCCGAGAATATCCTAAACCATGTCCTCAGGTTAAGGCTTTAATAAAGTAACCCAACTTTAAGAGTCGTATCTCCCTTCAGGATAGGAGGGAACCCAAAATAAGCCATTCCTCACACAGATTTGCAGCCCAACTTCTTGTACAGAACTAACTGAGGAACCTTAGGTGTTGCACTTTGACTAAAACGATTCTGGTCTGATAGTGTCAGGCGCCTGGCAGAAGCAAATCAAAGTCTACTCTGGACAAAGATATCATCACCACTAGGCCTCAACTTATTTTATTTTTTTAATCCTCACTAGAGGATACTTTTTCCATTGCTTTTCAGAGAGAGTGGAAGAAAGAGAGAGACAGAGAGAAACACTGATATGAGAGAGACACATGGATTGATTGCTGGAGCCAGGGATTGAGCCTGAAACCGAGGTACCTGCCCTTGGCTGGAATCTAACCTAGGACCCTTCAGTCCATGGGCCCAGCACTCTAACCACTGAACCAAACCTGCTAGGGCTCAACTTATTTTTAAAAATATTTTTTAAAAAGTATTTCCAGCAGATGATCAAGAATATCCAAGCAACCAAGAAAATAAGACACCATAAATGAGAACGGATAAGAACAATAATAACAACCCAGTAACACTTGAGATATTAGAATTAGCAGACATATATTATGAAACAATTATACTTACTATATTCAAAGAAATAAAATCAGAGCTTGAAAATTTAGCAGAGATCTAGAAACTATGAATGACATAATAGTTACAGAGAAATATTCATTTCCCTTTTTCCTGTCAACAATATTTGGCCACGTAGTTTAAAATTCTTTCATTCTAAGGTTTAAATTTTTTTTTAAACTATCATTATTGATTTGAGAGAGAGGAAGAAAGAGAGAGATAGAAATATCAATGATGAGAGAGTCGTCACTGACCAGCTGCCTCCTGCACGCCCCCTACTGGGGACCAAGCCCGCAACCCAGGCATGTGTCCCGACCGGAAATTGAACCATGATCTCCTGGATCCTAGGTTGATGCTCAACCACAGAGCCATGCCTGGCTAGGCTAGGATTTAAATTTTTTATATTTGTTTTGGTTTTCTTTTGACACACTGAAAACAAACACAAAGCACCACATTGATAAACCTAATATAATTAAATTTATTTATAATTCAATCAGAAATATATTAGTTAAGGAAACAGTAAGTCTACATTTAAGTGTTTGTGTGTATACATATGTGTGTAGTGAGCACACATGTGTATGCACACATGAATTTCTGGGAAACACCTATGATCTCTGCCACGCTCACTCCTATTGTCAACAGTTCAGGATGCAGATGGGTAAAGCAAGAACAGATGTTCAATGACACCAGGGAAAATTTTTGAAGATACCATCCACTTGCATAGATGTGAAAATTACCTTCAGCTTTTACAACTTAATGGGTTAATTTTAAGTATTAGGGAAGGTTAACTGTGATTTAACAAAATTGCTTAAACTGTTTGGAGGTTAGGTATTTATACTGAAATGCAAATATTCCTGATGGACTTAGTGCCTTGACTTTAAAACATTCTATAGACAGATTTTTCCTTGAAGATGGGTCTTGACTACAAGGAAAGGAGGGTACTTAGCAGTGATATTCATTAGGAGCTGAGAGGGAGGAGGAGGGATGAACAGGGAGAGAGAAAATGAACAAAGTAAGGAGGGAGAGGCACCAACACTGAGCTCTGGCAAGTTTCCATTTTGCTAGATTGTTCAGTAGTTGTAAAATCAAGCAACTCTATCAATATGCTCATTTTTCATTTTAGAAGCATAATAGTATATTGTTTAGTCTTATCAAAGTTGGGTGAAACATCCATATTAAGTCATTCATTGCTTGAATCTAGTTAAACCAACTTAGTTCATTTGAATCCAGTCTCTTTGACAGAACAAAAACTGGCCAGTAGCATTTAACAACTGTTCAGCCCCACACTCTGTAATAAGAACGTCAGCAGATTTAGTTTCCCCATATAAAGTAGAATTTCCAATTCACACCATGTACCCTGTGACTATTATGGACAGTATTTATCCTGAAGGAATGCTGTGCAAGTTTGGAAAAGCTGTCTCTAGAGCAGAGCTGAGAGGTCAGTTGACAAAACAAGAAACCAAACCTATACATGGTCAAAACATGAAGGGAACTAAAGTTTGTCGTTCTTTTTTTTTTTTTCTTTTTAAAGAAAAAAGTTTTGAAATCCTTAAAGCACAGTGTGGCAATAGCAAATTAGACAGCTCTTACCCTCCTCCACTCTCAAGCTCAGTATAATCAGGATGCCTCCCTTCACTTAGCAAATTTCAGCTTTTGGGGAGGAAGAGAATCGGCTTGGAATTAATGAGGCAACACCAAAAAATAATAAATTGTACTCTTCAATGGAAAATTGCCTATTTTGTCTCATTTGTTTTGTTTTTTAAAATACAGAGTATCTTCTAAAGGCCCCTGATACACTTTCCAATCACCTCTTTTTCCCTTCTTTATTTTTATTTAATTAGGAAGTGCCATAGTGCCATGCAAGGGAAATGACACCATCTCACAACAATAATGCAGATACATCCAGTGGCATCATGAACACAGTAACTGTCAGTGTAGTGACATATAACTACTGACATTATAATTCAATAAACACAGGGTGTTTGAGGAGGAGCTAAGAGAGGGAAAAATAAGTAAGGGTAAAGCAAACTGAAGTTCCAGAAGTGCAAGGTAAATTTCAAAACTAAGCAAAAGTAAAATGCCATATATCTCAGGAAAGGTAAGAAAGTTACAACACTGGAAAAAATCTTCATTATCACTTTCTCACTCACACAAAGAAAAAGGACAATTCAACATTAACCTTCCCAGGGAGAGATGCTCCTTAAAACCAGTCTTTTCACTTACCCTAGATTATGTACAGCAGGATCTCTTAAATCCTTTTAATTCCAGTACATCCAGAAATATATGAATTCTTGGCACATTCACTTCAAGGATAAACTTGAACCAAACTGTTACTTACAACAGAGCTCCTAACAGAACCCTCTGAATTCTCAGGGAGAGATGTGAGTTTAAAATCCAGCTTCTAGAGCCTGGTGTATACTGTGGCTATCTTTAACTTGAAAATGATTTGGTTTCACATTCCACTGAAGTCCCACTGGCAGATGACTTTGGTAAACTCACCAATGGCAGGCTTTCAGGCGGCGGCCCTCCAGCCCCTCCTCCCTCCGAGCTTCCGCTGTTGCATCTAAAGCTGATTTACTCAGCTGTCTTTCTACCTGTCTCTGCCCGGGTCCAAGGAGATGCTTTCATTGATGCCATTACGGAAGGACTTGGAAACTGAAGATCAGCCGGAGGACTCACTGTGTTCCCCCCCACTGCTATCCCCTCCCCCTACTTACTGCCAGAAACCAACTGACTTCCAAACTTGGCTGTCTGAAAAAGAATGTTCTCTGATTGGCATTCCTGGAAGCAGAAAGCAAGGCAGCTCAAGTTTTGTTCTGTTCCTCAGCTTGAAAAGCTTCCCAGGTATACATAATACAAAGTAAGTTTTCTGGATTTTTTTTTTTCCCTTAACTTTGGGGAGAATGGAGCAAATATTTGGGGGCATGACAAATATTTTTGCTGTCTCACAGCATTTAAATTTTAATATTCACATATAATTTTACCCCAAATGGCTTAGGGATGCAGTAAAACAAAACAAGCAAAGTGGTAAATCTTTAGTTAAAAGTTGGATTTCCTTATTTGTAAATGAGTTGGGACCTATTAGAGGAAGCAACAGTCCCGCCGCCTGCTTCACAGTATTCTGGAGGGCAACTGTGGCTTTTCTGTGAGAGAAAACCTTGTTTATAGGCATTGTGAAAACACTGATCTCAGTTGTCCTGTATTATATATTGCAGACAGCAGGAGAGGGTACAAAGATTCCTACCTCTCCGTCAAACCTTTTTTCCTGGAACTATCTTGCAAAATTTAGTGAGGAGTGGGAAAAAATTGTGCGTTTGTGTGTGGTATAAACGCACATCTGAAAAGGGAGAAAAAGACTGAATGAAAATGAGAAAAAATACATTTAGTCAAATAGGTTCTGACAAAGATTAATAATGAGGAACTCCTTTAAATCACTAAATAAACTTGTGTTTAATATTTATTTAATGGTTACTGAGGTAAAAAAAATCTGCTGCTGAAACAACTTACCTCTTCATGATCAAAAGTGTGAATTTATTACAAGCAATTTTATGAAGTAGACAACTTCTTGAAAGGCCTAATTAAAGATTTATAATTTCAGTAATCAAACAGACCACAACCCCAATTGGAGTTTCCAAATTTCAGCTGGCTGTGGTTGCCAACTCTAGGCAACTGTCAGCTGGCAGGCTCAGGGTGGTGGTGTGCCTGCAGCTGCTCCCTGCAACTTGTACAGACATCGCAAAACTATTTGATGGCAAAAGGTTGACTCCAAAAAGAAAGCTTTCTCTTTGTTTGTTTGTGGTTGGTTTTAAATTTTCTGTTCTAGGTGGTTTTTTACCACATCTGGAACAAGAGCATTTTAGGGGATCATGAGTGAAAACATGATCAACTGGCATCACATTACTAATTTATTTCAGTGATATAGTTTGTTAAATACTCACTGGAGGATATGTTTATTGATTTTAGAGAGAAAGAAAGGGGGGGAGAGAAAAAGAGAAACATTGTTGGGAGAGACAAACATCTATGGTTTGCTTCCTGTACAAGCCCTGACCAGGGATCGAACCTGCAACCTAGATATGTGCCCTGACTGGAAAGTGAACTGGCAACCTTTTGGTGTATGAGACCATGCTCCAACCAACTGAGCCACCCGGCCAGGGCTATTTGGGTGGTATTTTGATATCTCTATAGACTGGCACTCTACCAGCTTACTCACTCCTTACCCTGTTACTAGATGCCTTTAAAAAATGATTCAATAAAGGAGGAAAAGAGGAAGAAACTTTCTTTATTCTTATTCCCAAAGTCGATTATCTTAGGGAAGTTTCAGGCTACATGAAATGCTGATAGAGAAGGGCATCCAAATGACTTCAGAAATAAATAGAAAGAAAGACCCTCTCACCCAGAGAGCATGCATGCCTGTCCCTACATTTCTTCTTCCCTCTTTCAAAACACTTCTCCTCAAGGGTAATGAATGGTGTCAAAACATGCGAACTAAGCAGAGTGGACAAAGTTGGCGGCAGGCCATTCAGTTCACACTCAGCCACACTGTTCGCTCATGTTGTATTTTCAGTGAACACTAGCACATCACTAACAGTACGAAATGCCTGTTGAAACTGAAGAGCTGCTTGTTCAAAAGCGTATATTTTAACCTGTGAAAAATGGTTATATGTTGGCTCACATTTTAGATAAATATAGCTTGCATTTTTTCTTAATGAAATTTTTCAGAAAAAATTGTATCTCCTTTCAGGCTGTTAACCGAAATATTATATGGAAGGTATATTGGGTTCTAAGCACCTTCACTAAAGCCCTGTCCCAAAAAATCACTGTGTATTTTGGGTCTGTGTGAGTGAGTGACTCTAAATATCAACATTGTGAATATTATTAAGATCACTTTAAAAAAAAATCTTGCTGGCTTCCAAGAAAAATAGAGAGAAAGGGAAATGTTAGGTCTTTCTAATATTTCATATTAACTAGTAAAATATAATGATTTCCGTATTACTGACCGTTTCCTTATAGTGCAGTATTCATCAATCAAGTATCTCCTTAGGTTCCCAACTTTATCTCCCCTTATATTTCATCTGTGCCAATCATGGATATTCCAGAACAGTTTGCCACAGTAGTGTAGCATTAGTCCAAGTCTAAGGTTGAATGAACACAATGTGAATTTTCAAAAATCTCTTCTTGCTAATCTTCACAAGGCAATTGATAAGATTTACAATGGCTAGAACTCAGTGTTTATCATGAGTAAATGTTATTTTTCTCTTTCATAAGCACTAACATGAGAGTTACGAGTTGATCAGAATAATAGCTCTCAGGGCTCACTTCCAAAGAAAACTGGGCAGGTAACAGGCAAATCAAGTGGCCTTGATCTATCATGAACAAGCAGTTAATCTCTGCTCCTTTCTCCAGAAATAGACTGTATTAGCACAGTTCTGTGGATGGCAAATGCGGGTAGCAAGGCTCCTTGCAGGGGTGAACAAGGTGTTAAAACTCACGTCTTAGCCGGCCTATGAAGCCTCCATGTGTATGAAGAAAATGGTCATTGAAAAGCAATGACCCATTATATTTTTCCTCCCTGTGGTCCTTCAGAGACTGGCATAGGGAGTATTCTCAGGGTGATGGTTTTACAGATGAATTTTTTTTGCCTATTGCATAGTTTTGTTTTTTTTTAAAGCCTAAACTATTTGCTATAGACTGAATATTTGTGTCCCCTCAAATTCATATGTTAAAATCCAATCCTCAATGTGATGGTATTTGGAAGTGGGGCCTTTTGGAGCTGCTTAGGTCATGAGCGTGGAGCCCTTATGAGTGGGATTAGTGCCTTTATAAAAGAGGCCCCAGAGAGCTCCTTCATCCCTTCCACCAAGTGAGAACACAGTTCCAAAAGACAGCCATCCATGAACCAGGAATGGGTTCTTACCAGACACCAAGTGTTGCTGCCTTGATCTTGGACTTCCCAGCTTTCAGAACTGTGGGAAATATATTTCTGTTGTGTATAAGCCGCCCAGTCTATGCTATTTTGTTATAACAGCCTGAATGGACTAAGACACTGTTTATGCAAAAATGAAGGTTAGGGCAGGGTAGGTGAATAGAGGCTTTTTTCCTAAGGAAAAATTAATAAATCTAAGTAGTAGTTTGAAAAGTAATTAAAATATACATTGCCCAAGAAAAAGTAGAAAATCTACACACAGACAACATTAGAAAACAGATATGAAAGAGACTCAAAACAGCAGATTACTATGTATAATCTTATTAAACACTAATCAATTTAAAAATTGGATGAAATGGGCACCCGCTGTGAATGTCTATGGTATGAAAATAGCCTTAATTATGGCAAGGGCCATATGTATACAAATACTAATTATAACATTATGTTTGGTAGGGTTAGGGTTGGAAGTTTCACAGTATGACCAAACATAAATGGTTTATCTCTGTGCTTCAAGGTGGGGTGAGTCATAAATAGCCTCACCCATTTTTCCTGGTGGTAATACAATTATCACTACTTTCTTTGTGTTCCATGAGGGTAGTGATAGGAACGACAGTGAGAGAAAAAGTGTGTACATCCTTGACCTACTCTCCCCTGGTCTGTCTTGATTGCCAATTGCTGATTTGGGCTCTAAATGGAATGTTCTCAGTTCCCTGTAGTCTGTTGTGGCCAATGGGACTCTGCCAACCTGCAGCTCTGTGGCAGCCACTTGAGCCACAGAGGCCACACTAACAGGCACAAAGGTTTACTACTGGCTTAGCCTGTAGACATGTGCAAGGCTGTGAGCACTACACCTTCAGGTGTGAGCCCAGGTCTAGGACTCAGATTTTCCCTGGGAGATGGTGGTATGGGCAGCTATTATTTGAATTTCATATAGCTAAGAGCTTGCTTTATAAGCATAGGAATAAAGATCTTGACAGAGTGTTTCTTGTTCTAGATTTTAAAAAGTTAAAATTTACAACAGTCTCTAGCATTTTAAGAAAGACAACAAAGCACTGGAGACCTCGTTGATGGAGGCCAGACTTGAAACAAAGTTATCTGAAACGCTGAGTATGCAGGCAAATATTTTAAAATGAAATAGTCCTGTTTTTTATTGAGGTTAAGATAAACTTTCTAAAAAAAAATGGGAAAAATAAATTTAAATATCCAGCACAAGATGAGGTGATGTTTGATATTACAAGGACAATACAGTAAGTGAAGGATAAATTGGAATACATTTAATCCCAAGTGATTTAAGCCAAAGTAATTTAAAATTTATGTTAGAAGAATAAAACACAACTATAGATAGTACTGAAGAAAAGTTTTGATGAAATTCCAATCTTAGAAAAGTTTAAAACTACTTTTATGTGAAAGTAAAAGATGAAAACAAAAGTGTAGTGAACTCAATGATGAGGGGGCAAAATGCTGAAAACTCAAAGGT